CCAGCCGCACTGTGGGCGTGCCTGAGGAAGCCAGAGAGCCTGGATCTCATCAGAGGAGCCCTGGCTGGTCAGTGCCTCCATCAGAACAAAGAGGGGGCCAGGGTTTTCTTGGGTGGAGGCACAACACTGCACGTTGTAACAGCAGAACCCCGGCCACCTTCCAGCAGCAGTAAGCATGGTTTCGGTTTGGGGCATCTTCATTTTCTTCCTTCCTCTCTCCCTTCACCCCCTCCCTCCTTCTGTCATCCCTACCTCCCTTCCCTTCCAGATCCCCCTCCTCAGCCCGCCCCCCTCCCCGCTTCCTTCCTTCCTTCCAAAAATGTTGCTATTTATTTGAAAACTGTCAGACAACCAGACGTAATTGGGATGACAGAAAGCAGAGGTCCCCACACTTGAGCCCGGGCATGTGGAAGCCCAGATGGCTGCCTCCCCCAGGTTCTGACTCAGGGGGCCCAGGTGGGGCCTCAGGTGCTGCATCTCCAATAGGTCCCTGTGAGGCCCCTGCCCTGGGAAGGACACTGTGACAGCCATTGGTTTAAAGAGCCCACGTCCCACCTCCAGCCCCAACAACCGTCCGCTTACAGCCATGTGGACCCCAGCGTCCCCACCCAGGTTATGTGAAGGCAAATCTGAGCAAAACCCTAGCATTTCATCCTCAAATATTTGAATGTGTGTCTCAACAAGGATGGTATTGGGCAGAGGAGGGAGGGTCCAGGGCCCAGACCTCAGGCTGAGGGGACGAGCTGTGGGCTTGTGGCCACCGCCTGCAAGCAGCAGGGAGAGCGGCCTAGGCCCCTGGGGCCATGCAGGAGGCCCCTGGTCAGGAGCTGCTGGGGACCAGAGCCTGGAGAGCCAGCAGAGGTTGAGAGCGAGCTTGGACGAAGTCGTCAATGGAGCGGCCAGCACATGCCCACTGACGGCTGGCTGGGGGGTGTCACGGTCCTGTGTCTAAACTGTTTTTTTACACCCTGAGCAGTTATACTTTGTCTCCTAAATTCCATAGATCCCTCTGCTTTCCTCCATTCGTGCCATCTCCCTTGAGGTTGGGGACTGGGGGCGGGTAACACGGAGGCCATACCCCAACTCCAAACCCCGGGGCTTGGAGGGGGGAGGTGTGTCCAGGTTTTGGTGAGCATCCTGTGCATGTGTCTCAGGGTGACGGCCGGGTGGGGTTCTTCTCCAGTATTGTCTGGCCTCTGGGACCACGTGGGTCTCTGTGGGACCGTGGGCCCCTGACCTCCCGCAGTGGCCTCACAGCTGTGCCTCATCCTTGGCCTGTGGTTCAGCCAGCCCCACCCGCTCATGTTCACAGCCCCGCCCATCCTCCCCAAAGCAAAAAGCAGTCTCTTCTCACTTGCTGGGGGCTTCCCGCTGCCCTCCCCGCTCCTGTTCCTGCACCAGCTTTTAGCCAGAGAGATCGTTCTACGTCAAAAGTCAGGCCCTGCTGTGTTCCTGCTTAAAAGCCTTCTGTGGTTCTACATTCCTTCGAGATAAGGTTCCAGATACAGGAGCGGAAGGCTGGGCCTGGACCCCAGCCCTGGGGGCTTCCCGCCGGGCCACATGCCCTCGTCCCATACTCCCCGGCCCTGGCTCTCTCCTCTTTGCTCCTCAGGGCCTGGCTTAGGGCTCCGTCCCCTAGGAATCCCGCCTGACACTAGCATTGGGTTAAGTTCCCTCCACCCCTCCACCCCCACCATAGCACTAGTCCCTTGTTCATGGTCACCAGTTGCTTAGTCTGCATCCCAAGACTTTCAAACCGCACTTTGAAAGTCCTTCCCGGGCCTTGGGCAGTGCGGTGAGTTCCTGTGGCCGGGCTGGTGACCTGGGCTGGTGACTGCTGGTGAGTGGTGGCCCCCTGCAAGCTAAGTACAGAAAGTGAAAGTAGCATTTGGAAACTCTCAAACCCTCTGACATGGCTGTGACCTCAGCGTGCAAGTGTGTATTTTACACAAGTGTCGACGGTGATGGATTTGCCCGGCACCGAGGAAGCACTGACCTGAGGCCCACTGGCCCCTGGACCGACAGCTATTGGAGGGTGGGGCCGGGCTCAGGCGACTGGAGGGGATGAATTTGGGTTTGCATGTCACCGTGGCGGACCGTTGCCATCATATTTTTGTTCATGTAAAGACTCGCCCATATCAGATGTATTCTCACGTGAGTGATCGTTATCTCCTGTGCTCCGCGCCGGGCTGTTTCACGTTCTTGGCAATGTCAGCGTCTTAGGATAAAGCGTGTGGTGAGGACTCCCGCGCTTTTCTTGGAGGCTTCTCCGGCTGGCGTTGGGGCTATTCTGCTGATAACAGCCTCACGCTGGTGAAGTTGCCTGTGCACAGGTTTTGTGCTGCAGCACCGACCCCCAGGTGCCTCGGGTCCTCGGCCAGAGCCCCACAAGCATGATCCTTACCCCCTGCATCCTGAGCGCTTTGCTGTCTGTGTGTGAGTCACGTGGGTGCTTCACGGGGCGGTGATGGCCAGGATTTGAAATTGCATGGAACTGCACATGTATCTCCTGTCTAAATTATCATCTGTGGACCAAGTTGATCTGTCTTCGAGGTTGGCTGGCTGTGTCCTTATAAGGAATTTATTCTATAACTTGGTTTTGGTCGTGTGGTTCCTTTATCAACCAAGCTCATGTCCTTCAATCGGGGGTTGTCCTCAGGGACGAAACAGACATGTTGGGATGGACGTGAGGACCAGAGGGGACAGCGGACCGAGCAGAAGCTCTCCCCTGGGTAGCTGGGGTCTGTTGGGACATCACCGCATTCCTGTCTCCCTCTGCCCCCTCTCACAGCCCCTTCCTCTTTCTTACATTCCACTCCCCTTCTTCCTCCATGCCCTCCCTTCTCTTTCCCCAGCCCCACCCCGCCCAGCTGGTGGGCCGTGGCCACCTGGTCTGGCCAGTGTAGACACTGAGCCCACAGGCTGCTGGGCGGCGGCTGCCCTCCGTGTGAGCGTCCTCCTCTCACTGGCCGGTCCATGGGGCTGGAGGAAGCACTGCAGCCAATGTCAGTCTAATGGACCTTCCCTGCTCCCCCCTCTGGCGCTGCCCCTCACACTGTTCAGAAAATTGAAAATGGCAGTGAGGAATTAAGTGCTGACACAGCTGCGATTTTGACACCTTGATTTGAAGGCGCCACACGAACAAGCCAGTCAACCGCTGACAGCTCAGCTGTGGTCAGTTTTCCTCTTGGATGAGAATTTAGAAAGAAGATGAACTTAATTCAGTACAAGCTTGGGATGGGGTGATGGATGACCCTGACACCAGGACCCGCCGTCCGGACATGAGCCTGCCACGCGGGAGCCCACCGTTGGGGAGACCCTGTGTGACTGGACACTCGGCCACCTCACTGCTCGCTGGCCCACCCACCACCCCGAAAGCCTGGTGCCATCTCCAATGGCCGTTTTAAGGTTCTTCGGGGAACAGTGGGACGGCTGAAAAATGCGTCTACCGATCTGGTGGAAGAATTGCGAGGGTAGCCCCGAAAACTGAGTAGATGGAAGGCGGAATGTGTTTGACGCCAGGGGACCTGGACCCGGACACGTTGTGCCACTCGCCTCCTGAGTAGTGGGTGAGCTCGAGTTTGCGCAGCACGAAGCAGCGTTCAGGTGCCAGGCTCGTCGGCCCTGGTTGGCCCAGGTCAGGCGTTTCAAATACTCGCAGAGTACGGAAAAAACAGCGAAAGCTGAAAGATAGGTTCTTCTTTAATGTAACACTTCTAACAGCTCTGGTCTTGGTCTTGGAAAAGATGGCTCCCAGCACTGCAGGTGTTGAAGGGGAAGCTGAGGGCAGCAGGGTTGTAGAGAGGTGACCAAACAGGAGTTCTGGGAATCTGGGTCACAGTCCCAGCCCCCCGCCCTCGGACATGTCTGGCAGCCTCTCCCAGCCTCCACTTCCTGCTCTGTAAAGGGAGGGATTGAACCAGTGACCCGTGGTCCCATCCTGCTCAAATGTTTCACTTCGTGCATTAATCTGTTGTATCTTCAAAGGAAGGCAGACTGCCCAGTCCTGCCACTTATGGGCTGTGTGACCTTGGGCAAGTTACTCACCTTCTCTGTGCCTTAGTTCCCTCATCTATAACCTGGGGATGTTAACTGTATCTACCTAATAGCGCTATTTGGGAACAGTAACTGCTTAATAGAGCTATGCGAGGAGCACATGGCTAATGTAACTAAAGTCCTTAGAATAGAGCCCGCGGCATTTGGTAAGGGCTCCATAAGTGGCAGCAGTCGTCATTACTCGTAACTGCCACTACCATTGACCCTGTTAACTCTTACGAGTCTGCGATGCATTCCTGTATATTCGTTAACCTCTGAACAAGGTTTTCTTTCAGTAGCATCCTTGTTACCCAGGTACTTGAAAGGGGCCACCAGTCTATGTTCTAACACAATTTCCGGGTGTGTTTCAGGCGGAGGCCCGGCTGGCAGCGAAGCGTGCGGCCCGCGCGGAGGCCCGAGAGATCAGGATGAAGGAGCTGGAGCGGCAGCAGAAGGAGGTAATGCCGACCTCGCCCTCGGTTCTTTTCACGGGCGGTTTAATGTTAGGTAGACCGTGCGAGTGCGGAGGCACCTGTCCATCTGACACGGCTCATGATCAGCACGTACTTGTGCCTGTGACTCCTGTTCAAGGTCAGGCCAGGGAGGGTGCATAGCACAGATGCCAGACGTGCCTGTCCCTGCCGCCCGGCCTGCGGGACCCGGACAGCGCACTTGCCTGCGTCGATCCGCCCAGCCTGGCTTTCTGGCTCTGCACTTCAAGGTCTTACTTCTGAGAGAATTCCGATCCTCTGAATTAAAAATATGAAAGAAGAACAGATGATTATGTTTTTATACTAACTAAACTGTTTTGTTTAAAAATGTTTTTGCACTTTTTTTAAATTTTTATTGTTGAAAGTATTAGATAAGTCCCCTTTCCCCCTCATTGACCCCTTATAGCCCTTCCCCACTGCCCACCCCAGGCCTTCACCACCCTATTGTCTGTGCCCATGGGTTATACTTATATGTGTACAAACCCTTCCCACCACCCACCCTCCCCTGTTTTACACTTTTTAATAGGTTTCATGAAGCCTGAATCCCGAGTGTAGTACAGAGCACAGAATAAACACCATGGATGCAATAGCCAGGGAAGAAATTGCCTCCCTCTCCCCCCCACCCCCGCCCGAGGGCGGATAGTGATGTGTTTACACACCTGTGAAAGGTGTTTGCTATTATTTTCATAGTCTTGAGCTGGAGCCAGAAGTCATGTGGACAGCTGAGGGCTCTCTACCTGACAGTTAGGGCTCTGAGCTTTTCCAGGGCTTTTCCATGACCTTGAGGTCACGGGGGAATGAGGGCGTCCCTCACTAGGGGACCCTGTGCTCCTGTGGGCCACGCCCTTGGAGACCATCCCCCCCAGGCCCCACCGAAGGCTCTGCTTGTTGAGAAAATTTGAGTGTGGTGTGTTGGAAAGAGCCGGCCAGCTGCCTTCCCCGGGGCTGGTTTGTGTACACAGTCTTGTTTGGTTCCCACAGGCAAATTGTAAAAGTTCAGCCGATGTTTTAAAACTTGTGAGATTTCAGGAAGAAAAAAATGAAATCTAGATTTTCAGTTTCTCTTAAAACCATTGCAGATTCCGCACTTTCCTGTAGGGTGAGGCTCCTGGGTGACTCGGGGTTCCTCTCTGCCTAAGGGGACTGTCACTCCCTGTGGAGGTGTGTCCCTGGGGAGGGGCACGGCCAGAGGTGAGTATGGGGAGGAAAACCTTCCTTGTGGTTTGAGGAATAGGTAGAAGGTCATTAGAAACTCAAGCGCAGAGGTCCGGGTCCCTGAGAGGCCGCGCCCCACGCAGCGTGCTGGGCAGGGACTGTACTGTAGTGGTGCTTGTGCTGTGTCTCTGTGTGAACATGGGCTAAACTGGTGTTTGAAAGCAGGTTACCACGTTCCCTCCTTGTTGGGAATGCAAATACAGTTGGAAGCAAGTTCTGGTGTCCGTGATACCTGACTCTGAATGAACTGAGTGCTTTCATTGTTGGTACTTTTTTCTCCTAATTCACTGGAAGAAGCGTGCGTTTAGCATTTTCTCAGTGCCCTGCCCCCTAGAACTACATTGATCATTTTTAAGTTGGAAATAATGATTCGGACTTTGAAACTTCCTGAGGCCCGATGATCCTCTGGAAGCACCTTCCTGTCCGTTATCTTGGTTGAGGGCAAGGACTGGAACCTGATCAGTACCCACCCACGAACTCGGGGTGGGGGAGGGGGAAGCCTGACCTGGAGTGCCTCTTGAGGTTCAGGCCAAGAAGCATTTTCACATCCGAAGTCAGCTGTGTGGGCCGGGACGTGGAGGAAGGAGCAGGTCTTGTTGAGCAGGCCCTCGTCATGTACCCGAGAGGGTGTCGCCTGAGCTTAGGGGCCACCCTGACACCAGCAGCCTCTGCCCACGCGGGCGGACTCTGATATACAGCACAGTCATTGGACGCCGCCCAACAGAATAGTTCTTTTAGCCTGAACTAAAAGAGCTGGGTCTTTTAAATGACAGGTTGCTTTTTCAAGCCACCTGGTGTCGATGTCCCTTTGAATACTTCTGTTCATTCAGGAGACACTTGCAAGCCCTGGGAGCCCCTCCCCTCTGCTCTGGAAATCAGAATGGCAGCAGGGGGTCAGGGTGCTCTCTGGGTGGGCAGTGGTCGTCTGGGCAGAGGGCCTCAGAGGTCAGGGTGTCCACACGGTGGGCAGAAGCCCATTCTCAGGATGCATCCCCATTTGTGGAGGCAGGTGCCAGCGCCAGGAACCTCCCACCCTCTCGGTGGCTAATGGTTTTGATCGGCTTTCCCAGTTCTCCAATAGTTCCCGGTCCTTTTTATATCAAGGTCTTAAAAGAGCTCTAAGAAGAATTTGCCCCAAGTTTTTGTTGCTGTGCCAGGTTTTGCCACGTGATTGAGTTTCCACACGGGATCTCCTCTCCTCCCTGAACTGTCCCCTGAGCTCTGTTGTTGGGGCTGAACCAACAGCTCAGGAGAGAGGGGACAGTGAGTCTTAGGGACCGACCTTCGGTGTTCGTGGTGGTGTTAGTCATCGTTTTTATAGCTTTTCTCACACTTAAGAGAAAGTGACGTTCACCAAGTATACAGTGTAACATTTGTACAAAATCAAGGTGAAAATGAGTTACAGCGGATGTCAAGCATGTCAAACTCGTGGCCGGCGGGCCGCATGCCTTGACCTACCCACTGGGAGTGTGACATGCTTGTGTGCATACATATCTGTCTTCCAAATTATACAGTTAGATGAAATCTATCCTCTCCTTAATTACAGACAGAATTAATTTAACTGTGCACTTGATAACCGAAGCAGGTTCTTGCAAAGCTCTTTGCAAAGTTCTTGATTTAGAGAATAGAAATGAAGTGGAATTAAGCCAAGAAACCGTGTGTTTGAATGGCTGCCTTTAAACACCCAGCCCTGTTTCTCTTTTTGAGTCAAAGGAAGTCGTCTTCTGTTTCATTTTAGTTCTACAACCCAAGGTAACCCTGCCTGTTAAGTCCCGGCCCTTTAATTTTGGTAGTGCGAAAGGGGCCTCGGTGGCTGTCACACAGGGTCGGGCACCCCGAGGCCAGCGGGGGGCCGGCACCTGAGCGTTTACAGGCCCAGGGCCCGTGAAGCCTGGCCTGCCCTCGGGTGTTTGGTACTTGCTAAGGATCTTGGGCTTTGCAGAGAAAATCTGATTAAAACCTGGGAAATCTGATTAAAAATGCCACCGTTGCCTCCCTCGGTCATACACACACATCTCATTTCGTCAGTAGATGGCATTGAGATTTTGAAATTCCTCATCGTGACGGTGGGTCTCACTCCCATTGGAAAGACTTCAGTGGTTCACAGGGGCCAGAGGTTTTTGTCGATTCAAGCTCATGGGCCCTCTCACAGGAAGGCAGCCTGGTAATTTGAGTCCTCTGGGCACTAAGTTCCCCAGCAGAGATGCCTGAGATACGGGACAGGGTTTCTGCGTGTGGGATTGAGCTGTGGGAGGAGGAGGAGGGGGGCGTGGCCTCCCTGTGAGGAAACACCTTGGGTCACGTCACTGTTTATCTGTCCCGTGTGCATCGTGTGTCTGTCCGTGCTCACACTCTTCACGGACGGGCAGGGACACTGTGAAGACACCTCCTCTGCTGAACTTGAACTCCCACTGGGGTCAGGTTGCAGGCCTGGAGACCGGCCCCCACGCTGTGAGTGGTCGGGTTGTGCAGTGACAACCAGTGTGTGTTCAGGGGGAAGTGGAGACAGGGACTCAGGTCAGCACAACCCGTGGGGACCTTGCTTGAAGGCAGCTGAGAGCGGGAAAGCCCAGTGGCAGCTGGCAGGTGAGCGCAGAGCCGGGCAGGGGTGCAGGGTGGGGTGGAGGCCCAGCTTCACCCTGGGGTTCATGGCCATCACATGAGCCCGGCAGCGCTGACTTACACAGACGACAACGTTGCTCTCATGTATGCAGGGCCTTTGACGTAGGAGAGCACCACACTGCAAGTGTACATTTGAAACAAAACAGGTGTCTTTTACTGCTAGTCCCCGAGAACTGGGTTGGGCAGAGGGGGATGCAGGGCCATCCTGGAGCCTGGGGGCGCCGTGTGGCAGTGCTGGGCTGCGGACTGTCGCTCACAGGCTGTGAGGGGGAGTCCGAGTCTTATTGGCAGGTGAGGAAATCAGGCCTTGGAGAGGCGGATGGATTTACCCGCAGCCAAGAAAATGGCCAAGATTTCAATCTAGATCTGAGAAAGCTGCAAAGCTTGCAGTCTTCCCAGGACACCCTCCGCCTCAGAATCGGTGTATGCTCATCAGTGAAAGCAGACAGAAACCGAGGGCAGAGTCGGCACGTTAACCGCGAGGTGAAACTGGCGGTGAGCGTGCCGGCACTCGAAGCGAAGGGGGCCGGGGGCGAGCCCCACAGTCCTCGTCGCTTCACAGGGGGAAGCACACCTTGCCAAACAAGTTCTTCTCTTGGTGCTGAACTGAAGGCACAGTATCATCCACACAAAATAGGCCATTTTATTAACCAGTTTCACAGAGAACAGGGAAGCAGTAGCTGCTCTCCTGCTGTTTTGTGATCTGACCACGTCCGGGAGTGAGGAGTATGCGGGTGTGCCTGTGTGCGCCCTCCATGACGGGCCTCGTCACCAGTCCAGATGGGGAGGACTGACTTCCTTAGCTTCGCTCGGGGGGCTGTTTAAGCGTTGTGAGGATTTGCTAAGGAAGAAGGTATGTAGATACTCTTTGGGAAATCCAAGTGAATCTCTTATTTCCCGTGAGAACCTACACTCATAGGAAAACAATGGTGATGCGATGACCAGGGCACATCTGACTTGGTAAACAGTTTGTTGGGGATACTATGTTTGAAATAGTCCTAATGGTGAATGCACACACCTGTGCTCGCCCATGTAAGGCTAGAAATGCCAAGTTTCCAGTCCTGCCCTTCGGCAGTGCCTTGAACAATGCCTGACTCAGTCCGTGTTCCGTGGGCTGAGTGAGTGAGTGAAGCAGGGATCTCTTACCTAGTGATTCCTACAAGATTAGGAGAAACGCCTGAAGCAAACTGCTGTGTCAACGTATGATAATAGGCTTTTCAAAGATACATTTCAGTTATATTCTAGGGCCACCCTGCTTTGCCGGAGGTTTCCTGGTGTTGTGTCTGTATCCACCGGAGAGAGAACGGGAGGGCACTGCTCTTTACGGTTTGTGGGTTTGACCCATTCGCTTTCTGATCAGGTTTCTGTACTTTTTTGTTACACTTTTATTCTGTGAGGAGAAATTTTAAATTGAGGACGAAGCCCTTTGTCCCATTCATGGTAACAGGTTACAGACTTCTGCCTTAGAGTAATACCAGGATTCTCATGGAGACTCAGGTGAGCGTGCCGTGTTCTACTGATAGACCTGTAACGAATGTCAGATAAGTTATGAAATGACCATTTCTTTCAATGAGACTTCAAACGTTGTTTAATTCATACTTTACCAATTAGTCACAGTCCCCCCCCTCCCCCAGTGTACCTCTACTCATATATATGGGTACTTGCAAAGCCTTTCTGTCTGATGTATCTACTTTTTAAATTGGATTTTATATTTCTCTTCCTGTTTCTCTTGCCTTCTCTGTAGATCTATCAGGTCCAGAAGGTAGGCTGTCCGTTCCTGGTTTTCTGTTTGCATGCACTGGCTTTCTCCTGCCAAGGGCCTGGCCGCTTTTCAGAAATAACGCCTTTCGCTGAAAATACATAGACGCCCTCACTGCTTCCCTCGCTGCTTTGTGCGTGAAGCGACTTGAGCAGGATGCTAAAGTCCCCACCTCTGTCTCTGCGAAGAGCAACTCTCCTCGGACGCATGTGTGTGTGCTGAATGCTTTCCTCATCTTTGTTTTTCTCAAGAAATCAGAAAGCTGTTTCTTTGAGGGGGAAAAAATGAATTCTAGGACAAAATTAAATCACATTTCAGAATTTGGGAAATCCTTTGAAATCAGGTATTTAAAGGGAAAGATTATCCTTCCATATAATTTTATTAGAAAACGTTAAAAACATCAGAACACATTACCATATGTTAAGAGGTTATTACCTTACGATTAAAAATCCTGAGTAGAAAAGAAAATGATGACCTAACAAAACAGTTCTGTGGCTTCCTGTCAGCCTGCCCTGTCCTAACATTGAGGGGGCTAATGTGTGGCTGTTTCCCAGTGTTTTGTAGAAGCAGCCGAGGTTCAGAACTACATGCACTGAGCAGGCCAGACACGGAAATTAAAGAGAAAAACACCAGGTGCATGACCCCTGA